GAGCTAGTAATGATTTTCCAAGAATTTTTTTTTTTGAAAATATTAGAATTTGTTAATATAATACATAGTATCAAACATTTTTGGGTGTTTGCTATGCATTTAGAATGACTTTATTTTTTATGGTATTCTATCTTTTAAAAAATAATTTATATAGTCTAGTATGATAATAATTGGATATAACATAGTGAGGTCAAGTGGGCTGTAGCTCATCTCGCATTAATTTTTTTCTTCCTCTTAAGATATCTCGAGCTCAAAACTTTTATTTACCATAGAAAAATATAATCGTTGTGTACTTAATTGCATGCACATCTAAAATAATTCGATAAGTTATTGTGATTAATCGTAGTGTTCTCTATGTAGAATTCCCTGTATTGTCATACCAATTCATATTTATAATCCATAATTATATATAAAAGTATAATTTAAAAAAAATTGTTAACCATCATACTCTTAATACAATAATGATGTTATAACACAATGTGATTAAGAAAAAATAAAAACCAACATTGAAGGCATTTTTGAAAAGAAATTATTAAAACCTAAAAAATAGGTTAATTTCATTTTTTTCATTATTTTCCTCTTTATTATGAACATAAAATCCTAAATAATATAAAATTAGTTTCATAAATCACTCATAACCTATACGTACACTATTAACACTTTATTTTGTTTATGAAATTTCTAAAAATCCAAAAACACCAACAGTAATAAAACTTAAAATTTAAAATAAAATACCAAAATAATATTTTAATTTTTTAATTAAAACATCAATCCATATACATTATAATAAACATCGAAACTTTTTCTTCATTTTTTCTTTTTTGCAAGATAGATGTTGAATTTTCTTATAATAACATATGATACGAAAATACATTTCAAATTTCTAACTAAAGTTTTTAAATATTGTTATTTTTGAAAATTTTAATTATAAACTGCCACATACACACATATATGCAAGAGATGCATATATATATGCTAACCAGTTTATATCTATTATTTCAATGCGATTTAATTTATTTATATTTTTTTGTTGAGACTTTAAAACTACTTAGGGAGCTCACCAATAATACAAGAATGAGTTTGGCTAGTTGAGATGATTTTAATAATGATTGGCGAGTGCAACATAAAAATTGTTGCGTGTTGGAATTGGACAAGGATAAACAGTTAATTATCCTAACTAGTTTTTTTTTCTTTTCTTTTTTCCCTAATGGTATTGAGTCAATACCTTGCATTTCAGAATCCTGATTTTATGTAATTCAAGGTGAAATAACAATTTTAACAAAAGTGGCATTTAAAAAAAATATGAAAAAAAATACATTGTAACATAATATTAATAATTTTTTTAAACATTTTTTTTTAGAAAGTAATTAATAAAAACATATCTAATCAAATTCTGCAAAACAAAGAGAGTAAACTTTAGATATATAGAAATCACCACTGCTCCAACTTTCACTGAACTAAGCAACTGGTCCTTCAGTTTGAACATCGGCTTTGGGTATGTAGCGCAACAAGAACTTCAAGCATGTATCAGAACAAGAGCAAGGATTGGTAATTTCTGGCTTTCCTTTAGCTTTGCCCTTCCCTTTCTTCTTCACTTCGAACCACCTCTTAATTTTCTCTAGTCCACCCTTAGTGTTATCATTATTGCTTTTATTATTCTCTTCTTCCCTTGTAAAAACGTAGCTCCTAAGGTATCTTTGCCGGCAAACAAAAATATCAGGACTCCCTGTAATATCTGAGCCAAAAGAATAGATCTTATCTCCCTCTTTAGTTACCTTGCTATACCCAAAAGCAGGAAAAGAAAGAGAGGAAGCAATACGAGTAGGGGTAGTAATACTGTCTTCTTCTTCTTTCTCCATGTTGAAACTCTTTATAAATCTTGCCTGTAATTTGTCCCATTCTGGTTTTGCAGACCTAATCCTTGATTGGTTCTCTGTACTTGCTCTTGTTAATGAATGGCAGCTAACCATCTTTGCTTCGCTCTTCGGTTTATGATTGGCGAAAGAGGATTTTCAATGGTTGTTGTGTTGATGCATATAGGATTTGCCTTAGAGTCTGCGTATATTTGTAGGAGGTGGTTTTGAAGGGTACGTATCTGCTAAACTAGTGTGTCCTCCTCGGGATAGGAGATTCTAGTCGGCTATTTTTGAAGGTTTATTTATTTCGGAGAGAGCTTAATTATCTGTGTAGATAAACATATATGATCCGTGTGAAGGAAGGATTTCAAGGTCTACTGAGAAGTCTTGCAAAGGAAAAGAAGATCGAAAAAAAGAGTCAAGAATGATAAATTCAGGGCCTTTCATTTTTATTCATTTAAGAGCTGTCTTTTATTGTTGCTAGTTTCTTAGCAGTATTATTTGACTAATTTATAACAAATCGTTCATAAGTAATTGTAAATTAAGAAATTTGAATTCGTATTCATGAAACGTTTTTGATGTTCAAAGAATATAATGCAAGTTTTATTAATCATAATTAAATTATTATTTTTTATTTTTTAGCAGATATATATATAGAATGATTTTAACTGGATTTAAGTAAAAATTAGGGACATAAATTGAATTATCTTTCGAAAATTTTTGTATATTTTATCACTCAACAGGATTCCCTATGAACTAAGCGGGAAAATGATGTTTTAATTTTTGTATATTTTATCCCTAAACAACTCTAATCATACAAAGAAAAAAGAAAATGATGCCAATAGCTTGTTTTGTTCGTCAGGCATAATAAACTCTTTCTTAATTTGTTTTTTTAAAAAAAACCTTATAATAGCTATAAGCCTACAGCATATCCTTTCTGTGCTGATTTTTCCTCTATTTTTTTTTTTTTTAAATGGCCAGGAAAATGGATAAGGCATATTGTATTTTTACTATTGATTTGTCTTTCTCTGATTTGGTCCATCCCCTGAATCGAATGCAAAGTTTTTAGCTTAATCCATACACGACAATGATATAACAGACATATATGCACTCTATTAGGGCCAGTACTGTAACGATCAAAAAAAAAAAAAGGTGTAGTTTTGATATAACAAGTTTTTGACTCAAGCTTTTGAAGATTCCTGCTATTACTACTGCTGCTGCTGCTGCAAATGATGATAAAAAGTGGTTCTGAACAAAAAAAAGATAGGCCTATTTGAGTTTTGATCGATTGCTGCAATTTCAACTTGCAGCTTTTTAGCAGTCAATTTCTTGACATTTCTCAATCATTATGGTTATGATGACTAAAACCCATTGTACGTATATTTTGGTTATTTATAAGGTGGTAATTAAGAAGTTGGTTGAACATAATACAAAAATGGAGCTCAAACCCTGTCAATCTCCACTCTCTTTTGTTTTATAGATTTGATTAAGCTAAAAGCCTGTTGATGAAAGCCTTTTATTTGCAAACTCATCAAGCTCTTTTTTTTCTTTAAGGATTCAAGAGTACAAAAGCTTAGTATGTTCACAATTAACGCAAATTGGTTGTTTAATAATATTTGATGTTGTCCATATTCACATTTCTAGAGTTTATGTTTATTAAGAGCTATAAGATTGTTGCTGCCGATAAGTGTAAAAACGGAGTTATCTCATAATTTTAATTAACAACCATTCCGTTACATAACAATAATTATTTAACGGTTTTAAAATATTTTATTATTGTTATTTTAAGTATTATAATAAGTCACGATCCGCGATCGTATCATTTTTTTAATCGTCCACAATTTAAAACTATGAATTAGTCGATTCAAATTAAACATGTAAGAAATAGCCTGGGTTATTTCATTACTTGTCATCTTCTTCTTTTTTTTTTTTTTTGTTTTTTTTTTTTTTTTACCGAGGATCAACTTTTTGACATATTAAAACTAAATCAACCCTCTATTTTAATTAAGTATAAATTATCCACACTTCAAGAAGGTAATTGATTAGAATTTCAATTGTAATAAATATAATAAATTATTAATTTTTGTCGTTTGAATGAAAATATTAATACCAATAAATTTTATAGAGTTCTTTTCACTTGTAAAATATAAGAGTAACTCTTTATTTTTATAATGGTGATAAATTCAATCTGTTTTCGTAATACGACTTCTTTTTTTTCTATTTCATTATCTACTAATTATTAATGCTGACTTTCTCACTGCCTAAGTCTTGATAATAGGATTTATTGCGGTAAGATAACTGTTACCTATATTTGTTTTTATGAAAATTTTGTAACATAACAGTCATGTCAGAGATTACTTCTCAGCAAGGACTTGTCACCTTAAGTGTAGAATCTAAGGTATCAATGGGCCCAAACTAGAGTACTGCTAATGTCTGGGTAGGTGAATTCCCAATAAACTTCTTACATTATGGAAAAAAGGAGGCCCAATTAAGGCTGAAGCCTGAAAGATTTAGCCCATTCAAACCCATAGTATAGGCTGTTTCTTGGATCTGCATTAATAAAGAAACATTGGGCCTCTAAGCTTTTGTACAAGAGCCTACATATTAGTATGAAATATTTTATTACATGAAAAATATTCATTCATTATTGTGAAGACTTTGACGCATACTCAAAGTTTGGAAGTAAATATTTTCATTCATATTTTTTTTTAATTATTATTTTAAACTTGATCGTTAATCAAGTTAATGGTTTTTTTTTTATTTATCACCATAACTGTGAATAGATTTTAAAAAAAAAATTAATATTGATTTTATGTAATGCAAGATTAACTAACAATTTTAATAAAACTGACATTTTAGAAAAATATGAAAAATAAAATACAAGGTGGCATAATAATTAATAATTATCTTAAACAATTTTTTTTTCGAAAGAGAGGAAGTATATCTTAATACCTGAAAGTTGGTTTGAGGGCGCAATAAATTTTATAACGAAAAGAAGAATGGGAGATAGACATTGAAATTGGTAATGATCAGATTTTTCTTTATTAAAAGTAATTAATAAAAACATATCTAATCAAATTCTGCGAAACAAAGAGAGTAAACTTTAGATATATAGAAATCACCACTGCTCCAACTTTCACTGAACTAAGCAACTGGTCCTTCAGTTTGAACATCGGCTTTGGGTATGTAGCGCAACAAGAACTTCAAGCATGTATCAGAACAAGAGCAAGGATTGGTAATTTCTGGCCTTCCTTTAGCTTTGCCCTTCCCTTTCTTCTTCACTTCGAACCACCTCTTAATTTTCTCTAGTCCACCCTTAGTGTTATCATTATTGCTTTTATTATTCTCTTCTTCCCTTGTAAAAACGTAGCTCCTAAGGTATCTTTGCCGGCAAACAAAGTTATCAGGACTCCCTGTAATATCTGAGCCAAAAGAATAGATCTTATCTCCCTCTTTGGTCACCTTGCTATACCCAAAAGCAGGAAAAGAAAGAGAGGAAGCAATATGAGTAGGGGTAGTAATAATCTCATCTTCTTCTTTCTCCATGTTGAAACTCTTTATAAATCTTGCTTGTAATTTGTCCCATTCAGGTTTTGCAGACCTAATCCTTGATGGGTTCTCTGTACTTACACTCGTTAATGAATGGCAGCTAACCATCTTTGCTTCACTCTTCGGTTTATGATTAGCCAAAAGGATTTTTAATGGTTGTTGTGTTGATGCATATGAGGTTTGCCCTAGAGTCTGCGTATATTTATAGGAGGTGGCTTTGAAGGGTACGTATCGGCTAAAGTAGCGTGTCCTCCTCGGGAAAGGAAATTCTAGTCGGCTGTTTTTGAAGTTTTATTTATTTCGGAGAGAGCTTCATTATTTGTGTAGATAAACACATATAATCCTTGTGAAAGAAGGATTTCAAGGTCTACGTAGAAGTCTTGCAAAGGAAAAGGAGAAAGAAAAAAAAGTCAAGAAAGATAAATTCAGGGCCCTTTATTGTTGTTCGTTTAAGGACTGCCTTTTATTGTTACTAGTTTCTTAGCAGCATAATTAATTTGACTAATTTCTAATATATTTTTTCTAATTTCTAATAAATCATTTATTAGTAATTATAAATTAATAAATTTGAATTTGTATCCACGAAACGCTTTTGATGTTCAAAGAATATAATGCAAATTTTAATAATCATAATTAAATAATTATTTTTTTTAATCATATACATAGAATGCTTTTAACTAGATTTAAGTAAAAATTAGGGACTTACATTGAATTATCTTTCAAAAATTTAATAATTAGTACTTAAGATAAATACATATAACTCTTTAAAAAAATTAAAAATTAATACCCTCGTCTATCCTCATATTTAATGAAATTCAATAATTCTAATATGATATTTAAATCTATACTCACACTAGAAATATTTTAATTTGGAAAATTCATCCGCATTTTAACTAATGAAAGAAATGAACTATTAAAAAAGCGGGAACATGATGCTTTAATTTTTGTATATTTTATCCCTAAACAACTCTAATAATACAAAGAGTAAAGAATATGATGCCAATAGCTTGTTTTATTCACTTGACATGATAAAATCTTTTATAATAGCTTGTTTTATTCATATACTTTATAGTCACTTTTTTCGTATTTCTATTTTTCAAACACGTAAAAATATCCAGAAATCAGAGATTGAAGATATATATATATATATCTTCTTTTTTCTTTTCTTTTTTTTCAATTCAAAAGGATGGGTATAGTAGAACTTGAATGCGGAACTTCTCTTCCTCTCTTGCTTTATCCTTTCTGTGCTGATTTTTCCTTTCTTTTCCATCTTTTTTTTCAAATGGCCAGGAAAATGGATAAGGCATATTGTATTTTTACTATTAATTTGTTAAACTGAATAGCAATATTAATACGTGTGATATTACTTCGACTTGCAACTCAAGAAAGCAACTTGATGACAACCTAACAAGATTCATCCGAATATGGGGGACAAACATTAAGAAGAAAATGTAGATAAATCCAATTATCTTTTTGGTTTCTTTTACAAAACCTTTGGCACTTGTGCTTTTTGATTGATTTGTCTTTCTCTGATTTGGTCCATCCCCTGAATCTAATGCAAAGTTTTTAGCTTAATCAATACACAACAACGATATAACAGACATGTTTGCACTCTATTAAGGCCAGTACTGTAACGAAAAAAAAAAAAAAGTGAAGAGTAAGCGTTGTTTCTTGAAGTCATTCTTTTTGATCCACATTAAACCCTTTTGAAGTCATAAAATAACTCAATCCTCCATTAATACTACTATTCGCATCCATAAGATCGGCAATTTAATGGGTTAAAATTTGAAGATATCTCTGTATTATTTTAAATGTCTTAATCATATCTCTTTAATAAATTTTTTAACTATAATGTCCTTTTATTCTTAATTACATTTGTATTTGATCCTTCAATCATTTTTTTAAATATCAAAAATAAAAATATCGAAAGTTATTTTAATTACCTAAAAAGATGATCCAAGAGATTAAATATAAACGTTTAAAGGGACACAATAATTAAAAAATTTAATATAAAAATACGATCAAAACATTTGAACCCGTAAAAAGGTATATAGTACCTTTAACTCGCAATTCAATGAGACCTATACCTCTCTTGTAACTTAAGAAACCGCTCTAGTATGTTATAGGCACTGGTGTGGTGGGCCTGCTTGAGTTTGAGCTCATAGCTAGTCTTCTTAGGATCCAATTATATCTCCAGCTTCGCCCAATCCAATCCACATGGATTACGCCTATTTGTTTTCACTGCCTCATTCCAAGCAGAATTTGTGAAAGGAAGGGCACCTCCAGGCAACCTGGTTTGATCCCAATAAGAACTAATTCTCGCCCACAAAGCCAATGTTAGGTGCCGCTCTGTTCAAGTTCTTCCTTCCTAAAGAAATAGTCTAGCTTCTCGACTAACAACATTAAGGCTATTTCAGGACATGCTCCTTGAAATGAATTAGTGGTGAAGCATCTATCCGAAAGACAATGGAGTCAAAGCCCGACACATAAAGCAAATCGAAGGCTTTTCCTAGAGGTCATAATAAGGCCTTGACAGATTTGTGAGCATTTTCCTCAGTGGAGCAATCAGATTTTGTCCACAGCAAACCTGGCCAGAAGCTTCGAGAGGGCACCATCGTTACTTCCATTTTTGAAGGGCCAATTGGCATAGATGGGAACCATTCTGCATGATAAACCAACAAAAACTTAGGATGCCTCCATGCCTTTTTGGTAATCTGACTGAAACAGAAGACTGATAACTCATTTAGCTTATACTGTCAAGGTCACACTTTCTTTCTTAATTCTACTTTTCTAGCTTTTCTCATCTCTTGTCCCTGTAAAATAGACCTATCATCCCCTTTTCAAATTTATGATGAAGAGCACTGCAGGATAAACAATTTGAGGGTAATGTTGCTCTGACTACTTAGCACTGTCCTCGTAGCTTTTAGTGCCCTTCTGCATCCTCGATACCAACACATCCAACATCTCTCTGTCTCAGGAATAAATTTCAGAGCATGATGATTCAGCCTGCACCTTAGCTTGTAGATCTGGACTAACATTGCTGTAGCTAAAACACAGATATAAGAAGTAACATTGGTTATCAAACTAGCAAAGTACCAAGATAAAACCACCTTTCCAGATCTTTTAACACTTGACCTGCTGAACCAATAAACATTTTACTGAGGCAATCCAGTTAAAAGATCCTCAGTAGCTGTGGTCACTTAGAGGTACCAATCACAGGGATATGAAACTCAGGTTGTACCTCCAGGCATGATTTGGGCCCCATTTCAATCATGAATAGATGAAATAAATCAAAAAAAGTTCTTTTGAACGGTTGGTACCAGTCCTACATTTTGTCTTTGTGGACAAAGGAGAAAGGGGCTTAGCTAAAAGACGATTGTACCATGAGATAAGCAAGGAGGCCAGACTCTTTTCATGGAGGTAAATCTTTCCACTTTGAGTTGTGGGGCTTACTTCCTAGCCCCAGTGGGAGTAGTGACTAGCGTTATAGGTCATTGGGGGGCCAGAAGGTTGCCACGACTAAGTCAATTTTCATCATTACACAAAAATAATGGAGAATTTTCATCATTACACTAATTGACAGAACAAATACATACAGAAATCCTTTGCTGATTCAAACCGCCCTCGACATGGATGAATATATAACCATCCATCTTGTTCTCAAGAAGGAAGACTTGCAAAGATTAGCAACTCTTTAACAACACTACATACGGCTGTGGATTCATATGCCTGTGGAGATAAAAATGGATATACAACACCAATACATGTTAAACAGTGCAAGTTCCTTCTTAACTTCTTTCCTCTCCTTGTCCATTTCTGCTACAAGTTAATGTATTTTGGAAGAAATAAATTTTAGTGTTTTTAAAATTTTTAAGTCATTTCAATTTTTTTTCTTTTTAATTTTCACCCTTATTTTTTTCCTTAGGTTTTTTTTTTTATTTTTGAATTATTTCATTCTGATTCCTAAACTTTTAAAATAAAAATTTTAATCCCTAGCAGATGCACTATATGTCTTTTTTTTCTTTGGTTTTTTCTTTATTTTTCTCACCAATTTATGTTTTTTTTATTTGGTCAAGTGTTGAAATTTTTAAAAATCGATTGTTATTTTTTTCAAACAGAGTTGGTGATTTACTTTACGCTCACACTATACTACTCAATCTTAGTTTTTTTCCTTTTTTTTTTTGTTTTTTTCCTTTTTTTAAAAAAAAATTCACTATTAGTTTTTTCTTTTTTTTTTAATTTTTACTCTTATTTTTTAAAATTTATTTCTTCAATTATTTATTTCTTATTAAAATTCTAATCAAATAAATTTTTTGATATAATTTTATTCGTTAATAAAATTTTAGAACGTTGATGTTTTTTTAAATATATTATTATAATTTATGCAATAAATTATTTTTATGCTTTTTAAATTAGTGTTTTATTTTTTAAAATATATTATTATAATTTATAAATTCTGATTATACACACACACATACAAAATGAAGAGGGTAATGTTCATTTGAACAGTAATAATTTTATTTTTTTTACTTTTACTTTTACTTTTGCTTTACCCTCAACTATACTACTCAATCTTGGTTTTTTTTTCCCTTCTTTTTTAATTTTCACTCTTATTTATTTTCTTATTTTCTAAGTTTTTTTTTAAAAAAATTAAATTATTTTTTTTTCAGCCTTAGTTTTTTTCCTTAGATTTTTTATTCAAATTTTTGAATTATTTCATTCTAATCCCTAAAATTTTAAAATTAAAAATTTAATCCCTCGATGATGCATTGTATGTCTTTTTTTTCTTTGATTTTTTTCTCATCAATTTATGTTTTTTTTATTTGATTGAGTGTTAAAACTTTTAAAAATCGATCGTTATTTTTTTTTCGCACAAGTCGATGATTTACATTACCCTCACACTATACTACTCAATCTTAGTTTTTTTTTCCTTTTTTTTTTAAAAAAAAATTCACTATTACTTTTTTTCTTATTTTCTTAGTTTTTTTTTAAATCTTTACTCTTATTTTTTAAAATTTATTTCTTCAATTATTTTTTTCTTATTAAAATTTTAATCAAATTAATTTTTTTATATAATTTTATTTGTTAATGAAATTTTAGAACGTCATTTGTTTTTTTGTAAATATATTATTATAATTTATACAATAAATTATTTTATTCTTTTTAAATAAGTGTTTTATTCTAATTTATAAATTCTTATATATATATATAGAGAGAGAGAGAGAGATAGAGAGAGAGAGTATATTTTAAATAGTTTAGCTTAATTTTTTAAAAAAATTAATAATGTATTAAAAAGTCATAAATTTTATTTTTTATTTTATATATATTTATTCAAAATTTATCGAATCAATTTTATTGTAGTTTTTCTTTTAATCTATTGACTTCAATATATTTCACACAATTTAGTGAGTCTAGTGTTTTTTATTTTCTTTATATATATATATCATGAAATTAGGTGTAAAAAACATAAAAAATAAATTGTATTTTTTTTAGTGTTACATACAACTTGAAGACGATAGAATATATATGATATATTTTTTTTAATTTTAGTTTATACATATATTACTCTTATTGTTTAAAATTTATTTCTTTAATTATTTGTTTCTTATTAAAATTCTTCTCAAATTAATTTGTTGATATAATTTTATTTTTTGATAAATTTGTTTTTTAAAAAATATATGAATTTTGGAATAAAATTTTAGAACGTTGATGTTTTATATTTTAAAAATATATTATTATAATTTATAAATTATGATTATATAGAGAGAGAAAAAAGGGGGGAGATAAAAGTATGTTTTAGGTAGTTTGGCTTAAGTTTTTTTTTTAAAATTCATAAGTTTCATTTTTTATATATATATTTATTCGGAATTTATCAAAATCAATTTTGTTGTAGTTTTTTTTAGTCTATTGACTTCAATATATTTCATAAAATTTAAGTGGGTTTTTTTATATATTTTTTTATTCATTCTATATACTCTTAAGCTATATATATATATATACACACACACACACACACATATGTGTGTGTGTGTGTGTGTAGTTTCTAAACCTAAGATTTCTTTGTTTCAAACCAAGGTATGCTTCCTAGGTCACTACATTACCCAATGAACCATTACCCCAATAGAGAGATCTTTAGAATTTGCTAATAAACTTCCCGATAGGATTCTTCACAAAACCCATCTATGGAGGTTTCTAGGAAGTCCGAATTATGTTTTAAATTTCTGTCCAAACATTAACCGTATTGTAAAACCTCTACATGATAGGTAAAGAAAAAACCAGTTCCCTAGTCTAATGAACATACTAGGATAGTTTAACAGATTAAGAAACGAGTCCTAGCTATCCTCTCGTCTTCACCTAGCAGACCCTTCTTTATCAAAAATTGTAAAAAATGATGCTTCTAAATTAGAGTATGCTTGGGATATTAAAACAAGTATCCTCGTGTCAAGAAAAAATTATCCGAGTTCACTTCAACGACATTGTTTGGCATTTCTCTTATGTCTAGGGCGGTGATCATAGGCGAGAGGATTTTTTCAATGGAGTTTATTAATTTTAGAGACAGATTCTGTCTCCGAGTTTTGGTCTAACACATTGACACTACGAGATTGAAGTGTCTCGGGTGCTATTTGTTTAGAGGTTCCTATAGAGGAGACTTTTATTTTGCTAAGCTAGTCTCTAATGGCTTTTAAAAACTCGGGCTTATTGGTTTGGATTTGTTGTTGACTTGTCCTAGAAACCTGGAATGGCTTAAAAATCGGGTTCTTAAGTCTCTTTTCTTCACTGTTTCTAGGGATAATGAGGGAGAAACAACTTTCTTCGGATATGATTTTCTATCCTAACTAGTTGTTTTCCTATGGTTTGGAGGTTGGCATTTGAGAAATTGTTCCGTTGAACAATGTTTTTTATGTTGACAGAGTCATCATCCTTGGAAATTTTGTAAGGACATGCTTCTATTTTTGCTTCTTCGTGAGAGAAGGTAAGCTTCCTAAGAGGAGGGTGTTCGGATCGAATAGTCTTTCCTTCTACTTCCCAAAAGGGAGTTTTGTTCCTAATCATCACGGGGTTCGTGGTTTTAATGAATGGATAAGATATATCATGTTCACAAGCATACATCTCAAACCAATCAAAGAATAATATATGAACTTTATGCATATTTACAAATTCATAAAATTCATTTTGAATTCTTTCCTGTTGCCAAGAAAGTTTTTGAAGAACCAATTTTTTTTTCCGAATTATGTTTTGTATAGAAATAATCATGCAGATATTTTTTTATCTACTACAAACATATCATCAAACAAAGCATTACATTCATTAGCAATGTTTTCAATGACAACGGATGTGATAGGAGATAAAGGTGGAGATTCATCCTAATTAGAATATCCGGGTTTCGGGATGTTTGCACAATAATCAATATTACGTAAAACATGAGTAGGAACATCGAAGTTGAAAACCTATGATGTGTACTAAGAGGTGGTAGACCATGTTCTAGGTCTTTATCTCTCTTAGTATTTGGAAGGTTAATGACGAAGGAATATTGGAAAATCTTCATAAGTTAAAGGTTTCGGAACTTGAGGCAACATCGGAAAATCTACTATTAGTAAATTTTCTATCAAATGAGAGTCTAACACTCCCATCTAGGTGTTGTGCTATAGATCCGATTTGGGTATTTGGTTTCGAAATCTCTAGCATTGGTAGAGATTTAGGTCTGCTTATGCCTTCTAAGATCCATTCATCCAGTAGGACTATGTCTTTCCATCTAATGGGTCTAGGGATGACGAGTGTTAGACTTAGTTAAATCTGTTTGTACGAGAAGGGTTTCTCCTCGGTCGACTCGTCTTTTGTGTTGTGAGGCAAAGGTAGAGTTCATGGCCTTATAATGGATTTTTGTAATCAATGCAACCGAGATTGATCCTTCCTTCATATTATAATTATGGGTTTTGATTTGGAGTACCAAAGACTCCGAATGTTTTTATCATTCAAAGAAACTGTAAAATTTGGATAGCAATCAAAAGATATAGGTCCATTGCATAAACCGAATATATATATATCATTAGTTTTATTATAAATTAACTATATATCTGCATACGTGATACCAATTCTCTATTATTTATTTTTTATACTCTAATTTTTTAAAAAAATAATAAAATAAGTTAAATATTGTTTTGAAAGAACTTCTCAATTATTCAAGTACAAATTTTTATGCAAATATATATATATATCAAATAATTTCGCTCAATATATAGATTCGATTTATATTAATCATAAAAAATAAAATTTTTACTCACAAGTATATCATACAAATCATTAACACTACATATATAATAGGTGTCCGACCGCAGCGTAATGCTCGGTTCCTGTCTAGTATATATATATAACCACATCCTTGTCAAATTAATTTAAAAAAAAAAAAACCAAATAAATAATAATTTATGCAGATTTATTCGCACATTACTTGTCACTGTTAGAAGCAAAAATAACACAGCGTTGGAGCCGAAGCCTATTCGAGCTGCTCTGAGAACCCTAACCCTAACTGCTGATTGAATTTTTGTGGGTATTCCCTGTGAAATGTGGGAATAACATATGGTTGAAGAATAAAGAAAAGCCGTACAATAGATTCGGTATTATACATACTATGTCAGTGACAAAGAAGCACTCGACGAGGAAAAAGGAACAAAAGAGGTGTACGTAATATATGATTGAATTTTATAGTTAATTATTATATAAAATTCAATGAAATTTTAATTTTTAAATATAATTTATATTCAAATTGGTGTACGTAATAAAAAATTCACATATATATACATACATACCAAAAACATCATCAACTTTCTATTAAAGTCAAATAAACTCTTAATCTTTAAAATTTTAATTTTACTATCATGCTTTCGATTAAAGTCCAATAAACTCTTAATTTTAAAAATCTTAATTTTACTATCATAAATTTTTTGGATAGAAAAAATATATGCCTTCATTGAAATTTTCGTCTATCCGTTAATTTTGACCACATGTGAGGTCACGTGTCAGGCTTAAAAATACAACATGTGCGCTAAAACTCTAACACACCTGACAAGCATGTGACAGTAGATTTAGAAACCAGACAAAAAAAAAAAAAAAAAAATACATAAGAATAATAACATATTTATAGCTTTACATAAAAATAAGTTTTTCTTTTAAGCAAACAAATTGCATAAAAAAATAATAAGATGCAAGGAAATGATTGAAAATTAAAAGAAAAAAATTGGTTAGGTTAATTAATTAAATCAATGATCTATTATCATTCTAAGTAGTAAATCTAAACCCTAAATACCAAATTTTACAGCAAAATTTCATCTTTAAAGTTTATCTAAAAATCAAATTAAATATTAAATTTTTTAAATAATACAGATTTGGTCAATTTATGTTTCGAAATCAAATGGGTTGACAACAAAGAGCTCTAGGATGGGTAGACCTCGTTAGTGGCTATGATTGGAAGTCAATAGTGATATGAACTGCAGTGGTTTTTTTTTAAAAAAAATCCTCGTTAGTGGATTTTGATGTTAACTGGAGCAATTGGCTTTTCTAATGGTTGTGGGCATGAGCAATTGAGTTTATTTTAATTTGGTTAACTTGTAAATTGCAGCAGAATGGTTTGGTGTTCTTAGTAAGTGAAATTGAGAATATTAATCACTAGTCTTAAAGCAAATGATAATGTATTTGAAAAATAACGAGATAAAGTTATATTTTAATTTTTAGTGAAATGTGGTCTGAATTTGAATTAAACAAGATGAATTGATTGAAGAAATTTTAAATTTAATTTGACGCATTTATTTTTGTTGTAGTATTTAAATTTTTTTATACAAATATTTGTTATATAATTTTTAGAAAATTTTAATTTGGATTTGATAGTGTGACTTTTTTTTTAAAAAAAATTCTTTTCAGTTTTGTATCACGTCGTTAAGACTACGATGTGACCTCGATTGTGGTTAAAACTTTTTTTTTTCTTTTTTTTAATTTCTTTTCAATCCACAACACGTGTCATGTTTTCACGGCTATCATATGACTTCATCTGTAGCTAAAATTGATTGAGGAATGAAAACTTGGATGGATAGGACTGTTCTTTGTAAAAAATAATTCATTGTAGTCAGATTAAAAAAATTTAAAAATTAAAAATTTATCATAATCCAAGAAAAAGTTTAGAGTACTTTTAGGTCATTTGACCATGATATGACATATAATACACCGCATATGGATCAAGGAGAATCTTCATTAATCACTAGTGTTTTGCTGTCATAATTTTTATCCGAAAAATTTTATAATATTTAAAAAATAATTAGTATATTATATATATATATATAATAATTATATAAATTTTCCTAAAAAAGATAGATACATAAAAAAAATCACATTGGATCTACAAAAAATAAAAATAAAAATTTCACATTAACTTATTTTTTAAAAAAAATTATTTTTTTCATATTTTTTTCTTATTTTTATTTATCTCTTTTTATAAAATAATTTATAATATTTATTTTTTAATTATTATAAAATTTGTCGTTTCTATTGAGTGAAACATCCAAATCCGTTCATCCGTACCGAAAGAGAAAAGAGGAATAAAACCACATTTTTATCCCATTGACTTCCCTGAATAAAACTGAACGAGTAAATGGAAAATCATTGTGGATTGCTTTCATCCATGAAGCAATTCAAAAGAACATACGACAAATTTTTGGATTGTAGTTTTCGGAAAGAAAAGAAAGCAAGAAGAATTCTCATTCCTCCGAAGGATAAGGCCGCCCAAGTTGCCCAAAGCGTCAATAGACTTCCATCTAATTAATATTCTTGTCATCTCAAATTTGCTATTACATCTCTCATCAACTTGACAAGTTTTTGTCTCCCGCTAGACAAGCCCATATGCCTTCAATGATCTTCCAGCCTTTTTTTTTTTTTTTCAAGATATTCTATATTTAAAATTTTATATTAATATCTTATTATTCGATAGAATATATAAAAAAGACATAATTATCTAAAAAAAATTTTAATATATAAAGAATCGAATTAGAAATTATATAATTAAACTGTTAAAACTTTTTTTCACTCTAACCATCAAACCAACTTTCTTATATCTGCTTGCCTTTTCTTTAATTTATACAACCCAAACCTTGTACGATCCAAGAAAGGAAACATGCCATTGATATATATATATAAAATATATATATAATTCACGAACAATTCAATACCAACTCTCTAAACTATAAAATTCTAATCTAGCGGTAATGAGCTTTTCGCTTACAAAAAAAACACATGTTTAATTTATTTATTAAAAATTATTTAATTTAATTTTTAAAATTAGAAGGACTAATTTATAATTTACTCTAAATTTTTCCTGCTCCGTTACTTTGTCATGTATTTGCATAACCTAATTATAAAGGCTTTTTCCTGGTTATATCTGTAATCTCTTTATCATAAAAGTTTTGTTGTAGTGCAAGAGAAGAAATATATATATATATATATATATATATATATATATATATATATATATAAGAGAGAGAAACATATGGAGAGAAAGAACCTCAAAATCTGATCAAATTTCCATTAATAAAGGTATTTGTTACAATGAAACTTGTGTGTGTCAAAATTCAATTAAATTTAAATGCAAGAATTTAAATAATAAATTTGATTAAAATGAAAAACTAACATGATATACGATGTTGGAAAGAACTGGGACATCCTAATTTTTCTTACATATAAGCAAGTCTTCGGAAAGTTTTTAACATCCGCCTCCACCACAACCGCCGCCACAACCACCACCACCACCTCCATCTCCTCCAACACAAGCACCACCAGCTCCCCCGCAATTAGCACCACCTCCAACAAAGCCACCCCAATCCTGGCGACGACTTTTGCCTGAATTACTATCACCACAAGCGAATATGACCATGGAAATGATTGACAAAGAAACAACAATCATGCATAACAACATGAAAGCCCCGGAGGAATCCACCAGGAAACCTGCTTGTGAGTGCACAGTACCTTCATGAACTATGATCTCTCTTGCCATCTTATCTTCCTAATATCCTTGCTACCACCACGCACATGCAAGCCTTGTTGTAGCTATAATAATACGTTGTTGATGAAAGCCCATTTATATTCAGACTTTTTGGAATATTCAACTTCCATCAACTTACTCAAGAAGGATATAATATAGTGGACATGTCAACGTTTTATTTTTTGTCATGCATCTATCTTTGGTCAATTTTGTTCGACTTTTTTCAACACCCGCCCACCGTGGCACTAACAATTAGTTTCTTGCACCTTCCCTAGCAATAGAAGAATTATATTTTTCTTGAGAAATATCTATTTAAAAAGAAATGAAAACAAACCCAAAAACATAATGTCATGAAAATATAGGATGAGGAGATGAGGAACAATCTTCGAGGCATGGAATGGTGAGGTGATGACAGGTGCATAGCTAACTTATTAGGCATGTAGGATGAGTTAAGGATTTTGTCCTTGTATTTTTATGAATTTACTCGAGAAATTTTATGATATTAATTTTATAACACTCTTTGACTACTATAAAATTTATCAATTACTCTGTTCTATTAAAAATTATATCTTTGCATCCAATTTCGTTACATCGAATGTCACATGTCAAAGATTTATACTTTGAGTCATATGAAAATTACCAATGAAACTTTTTTTTAAAAAAAAAACAGATTTGAATATTATTTAAATTTAAAATTTATAGGAAAAAAAGGTCGGTTTTTTAAAAACTTGGAAATTAAAATTTAAAATTATTAAGAAAAATATTACTTTTTTTCTTCTCTACTGATCATTTTATTTATTTATTTTTTTGAACCATGCATGATACATCATGTTAAGTGAATTTGAGAGGAGTTGGATTCAATTGATTAGACAGTCTTTTTATTATTATTATTATTGGATAACTTATGTCAGGAATTAAACCAAAGGTATTGTAGGACACAAGGAATTCAAATGAATAAGTGAGTTGGACTTGGCTGGTTTGATTAAAACTTCAGGACCGGTTTACCACTTTTATAAATATAGAGGGTCATATCTTTAATTTGCGTGTGTACCAAATAAAAACCAGTGTGCGCGTTAGAGGAATTTATGCATGTGCATTGCTCAACAGAAATCTTTTCTATTTTAAAAAGAAAATAGAGGGTCATATCTCTAATTCGCGTGGACCCAGTTCCTTTGAACTGAGAAGGATTGATGACCAAAATCATTTATTGTTTGAGGGTTTGTAGTACTCCTACAATTCTTGGTGTTCGTATATTCGCAAATCTTTCTCAAATCTCAATCCAAACAACTAAGCAACTCTTATCGTTTTGTGCAGTCAAAAGTATCTTTAAAACGCCAAACAGGTCTGCGTTATGGAAAATGAAAACAAAATGATACAAATTAGTTTATACTGATTTTAAAGGAGTAAATTATGAATTTTCAACGCAGAATAACCACGTACGTTAATCTGCCAAACATGCCCATAGCAGCAAATTGGCCAAAGATGCCCAAGACGATCTGTCGTCCACTCCAAGGCAAATTCTCTTCGAAACTTTTTGAAGAAATATGTCAAATCCAAGATCAAATTTCCTGTTTAATTATGTATTATTGGACGAAATTAATATCAACGTAAAATCAAGTAATTTTCTGTTTTGATTTTGCATTAATCATGAATTAAAAAGGAAAATTTTGACAAAAAATTTCGGGATTTGAGATTCGATCCTCGGAAAAATTTTAGAAAATTTTGTGCTATAAAACGTTAGGAATTTCACAAAAAGAAAAAAGGGGAATTGGAGAGGAATTCTAGGTTGGAGACCGAGTGAAAACCAAAAGCAAAAGGATTTGATCTTCAATTTTTAGCCTGTGTTTTTTCCGAGGAATTTCGGGCAAAGGTGTTGCTCTTGTTTTTTTGGGTTAGTGTTCTTCATTTTGAGTTTACGTTCTTCATCTTGGGTCGATTGAAAAGGATTATTCGGGGTCGTTTTGAGGGATATCATTATTCTTTTGAGTATTAAACAAGAAATCAAGGGCCAACAATCGACAAAAAAGTACGAAATCTTCGTTTTGAGTCTATCAATTCCTCTCGTTCTTCCGGGTTCGCTTGGTGTTCTTCAATCACGTTTTCCAGTTAAGCTTTCGTTGTTTGATCATTTTCGACTAATTTTTTTATACGTTCGTCATTGTTAGTTGTTCATCTTGTCTTTCGTTTGCGATTTGGTTTGTTAGTTTGCATAATTGAGTCTTTTGATTTCATGGAAAAATTTAAAACCCCAAGAGGAAGTTAGAACATGAAGAACAGGAGAGAGAATAGCTAGGGACCTATGTTTGATCGATTTTTTTAGAATTTTAACTTCGGATCTGTTTGTGGGCTTGAGCCCGACCAAGGAATTAAGAGAGGGTGGCCTGGACCGATTGTAGCCTAGCCCAAACCGAGGTAGACAAAAAAAAAAAAAAAGATAAGGAGATTGGGTCGATTTCATCCACCCACGCCCTTTATGCCCAAAATAAATAAATAAACAAAGGGGCCGGACTCGGATGTCCTTAACCCAAAAAAAAAGGGGGGAATGAAAAAAAAAAGAATTAGGGAAGAAAAAAAAAGAAAAAATGGGGATGGGTAAAAAAAAAAAAAAGAGTAAAAGATGTGGGTTAATATTTTAGGTATATGATGATTTTTCTTATTTCATTACTTTTATTATTCTTTTTTTTAACTCGTTTATATAGGATTATTTTTTTATTTTTATCTTTTATCTTTTATTATTCATTTAATTTTTTTAGCCTCGTTTATTTTTATTTCTTGTCGTTTTTAGGTATTAATTTAGATTTGTTATTTTAATTTTTTTTAACATGTGTTGCTAGAAAAAATCTTGACGAAGTCGCCTATCCGATAGGGACCGACGTCATAAAAAAAAATGTCCAAAAATTTTGGCGAAGCCTCCTACATGGTAGGGACCGACGTCATCCAAAAAAATAATAAAAAATAATAAATAAATTTGGCGAAGTCTCCTATCTAATAGAGATCGATGTCACCAAAAATCACCTTTTAATTAAGATGTCCTTCGACACGTCGGTTGTGTCAAGGCTTTTAGTGGATCCGATGTTTGAATCGACGTTTCATCCAATGAAAGGGATCGACGATCGCTTCAATATGATGTCACGCCCAAAACTAAAAAATTCACTTAGTCTAAAAGAAAATAGGAGATTAAAATTTAGAAAAATAACTTGACATGGATTTTAGGAGATAATTTAGAACTAAACCGTGCGTGGTACCTTTTTTCAAAAATGGGGCTTTTAGGTGATTAAATATCTTTCGAAAAGCGTAACCAACTCCTTACCTTAGAAATCTCCGAACCGAGTGCTACTTTTAGGTTCCTAGTTCCTTAAATACTAGGTGGCGACTCTAAAACTCGTAAATAATTTTGTAATTAACTAACGCTCGGACCTTTTAATTTTCTTTGAGGGGTCCCGTACGACGTCGTGTAGCGACAAATAAGTGAGTTGGACTTGGTTGGTTTGATTAAAACTTCGGGACGTGTTTACCATCGTTATAAATTTAGAGGTTCATATCTTTAATTTGCATGTGTACCAAATAAAAACCGATGTGCGCGTTAAAGGAATTTATGCATGTGCATTGTTCAACGTAAATCTTTTCTATTTTAAAAAGAAAATAGAGGGTCATATCTCTAATTCGCGTGGACCCAGTTCCTTTGAACCGAGAAGGATTGATGACCAAAATCATTTATTGTTTGAGGGTTTGTAGTACTCCTACAACTCTTGGTGTTCGTATATTCGCAAATCTTTCTCAAATCTCAATCCAAACAACTAAGCAACTCTCATCGTTTTGTGCAATCAAAAGTATCTTTAAAACGTCAAACGAGTCGCGTTATGGAAAATGAAAACAAAATGATACAAATTGGTTTATACTGATTTTAAAGGAGTAAATTATGAATTATCAACACGGAATAACCACGTACGTTAATCCGCCAAACATGCCCGTAGCAACGAAATTACTTTGATGTTTTAATTATGATACTTTCGCATACATTGTTCGGTAATTAATATTTAATGACTCTATTTATGTGTTAATAACTCGTTAGATGTAACCATTCTATTGATACGTGAATGCATCCGTCTAATATTCTACACTTCAATAAAGAAATATGGCTAGGTTTTGTCTAACCGTGACCAAAGAGAAGATTGAGAAACTTATCTCGTCTAATTTTATTTTTCAAGCACTTTTGCTATGATTAAGATATATGCCTCCTTGTTTATTTTTTTAGCTCGGCCTATTGTGCAAGATCTAGGAATCTATCTTTGTCGTGCATGGGAATCTAACTACAAGGATTAGAAGGGTCTAAAAGTACCGCATTCTATTTTCCAATGGCTTTTCTAATTTTTACATTGCCTTGCATTTTTAATTTTGAACCTTCGTTTGTCGAGTACCTTTTGTTTCTTTTTGTGTCTTAATGCTTGAGAGCTACATTATACCACACTATTAATTAATCACAGATTCCGATACTTGATATAGTTTTGACTTAGTAGAGCCGGGGAATCGTCTTTAATTTCTCATGGCCATTCGCAAAAGGATACTCTAAAATTCAAAGAAGATATGCCACGGCAAAAGATTATGAAGGACATAAATTAGGTATTTGTCTTAAATCAACAACTAAGCATTGTTCATTCTTGGATGGAAATGTTGCCAAAAACGTAGTCATTGGGATAAAATTGAAACTACTACAAAATGGCAAAGCAATATGCCGGATCACAAAAGTTAGGAAAATGGTAAATGATTCAAAAACATTTTGAATTTTCGATCAAATTAAAATAGATTTTTTACATTTAAAAATTATAATTTGATCTGTCATGAACTATATTTGATAAATAATAAGTTTTTTCCTCTAGTTTTATAATATTGACCATACATGGAGGTCACATGACAATCATAAAAAATAACACGTGTTACTCTAATTGATATTTTTATGCATGTGTCACATTTTAAATTTAAGTTAGCAGGATATGAAATTTTCGGTTACAAAAAATGAAAAAAAATAGCTGTAAAAACTTATTATTTATCAAAAAATAGTTTATGATAATCAAATTAAAGTTTTTTAAGAGTTAAAAACCTATGTTAATTTGACTACGACGGTTCATAGTGTTTTAATATCATTGATCGACTTTAGCGAACATATCGAAATTTGCACTTATAAATAATATTCGACTATTGAACCAAATAGAGTGGATTGCATTTTCGGGAAGAGAAGTCTGGTGGACATCGAAGAGGAAATCAATGCGAATAGAATATAATGGGGTCTTAAATCCAAATCATATCATGCATAGGCCGCCCCTATGCCGCGGACGATGACCTTTGCTCGAATTGCTATCACCACAAGCGAATATGACCATGGAAATAATTAACAAGGAAACAACAATCATGCATAACAACATGAAAGCCCGGGAGGAATCCACCAGAAACTCCGCTTCGAGTGCACAGTATCATCATGAACTATGAACTCTCTTGCCATCTTATCTTCCTAGTAACTTTGTTAGCACCACAAACCTTACCGTAGCTACGTACAATATGTTGTTGATTAGAGCCCATTTATATTCAAAAATTTTGGCTCTAACTTAATCAAGAAGGATATAATTAATATGGTGGACTTGTCAAGGTTTTGTTTTTTGGGGTTAATTTACCTTTCATATGCATATCCGTGTTGTTTACTCAAACCACCAATTACTTGTCATGCATCTATCTTTGGTAAATTCGATCAAGTATTTTTTTTTAACAAAAATCAAATTATTTAAACCATATTAATGTTGATTTTCTCATTAATTAGGGGTGAGCAAACATTTCGAAATGAACTCGAACCGAATTATGAATTTTGGTTTGGTTTTGAACATAAATTTGTAAAATTTAAAATCGAACCGAAACATTGAAATTATTTGGTTTGATTCAGCTTTTGAAAAAAAAATTCAGTTTCAACCAAAAACATTAAAAAAAAAAATCCTAAATTCCTAAGACCCTAACGGGCTAACTTCATCGAATCAAAATCAATCCCCACATCCTTCATTCCCTTCTTCTCCAGTTCTCCTTAATCGGGCCTTCTACATTGGTCGGTGATTCTAAGAAGTCAAGCACAAGCAGAGACATCCAATGTCTTCTGTGTCTTTGTCCTCCAACTACAAAAGATGAAAGACAAACACCCTATCATCATCTTCATTAAGTGCGACCATTTTGTGTCTAAATGATCTTCATGTCCACTTGATTGAAGAAATTCTTGAAAGGGTGCCCACATCCAAATCGCCTTTCCGTGCAAATGTTTGCAAAAATTGATACTCTCCGAATTCTTTCCCACAATTCCTAAATAAAGTAACATCTCTAATTGGATTTAGCCTTCCTATTTTTTTTCCTCCGTAATTTATGGTAATATCATATAAGTTGCAAATTATACATATCCTAATGTGGATGCTCTTTCCAAATACAACCATTTTGTTTGATTCTATTTTAAACATGCACCTTATCTCGCCTTGGATGATTGTTTCTTCTCGCTAGAAGGGTGGCTACTACACCACAATTGTGGTAGCAATTGCCACAGAGGCAGCTATCTCCGCAAAGCACAACATACCGTAGATTTTTTCTCCCTTATTCTTGTAATCTCACATCAATTGAAGAATCAGTAGCGGGATCCATTATAGTACGAACTTGAGGCTTGAACTCCTTAACTATTTCACAAGATACAAGATAAGCACCCCAATACTAAATTATTTTTTAAAAGCAAAATATTTTGATTAAAATTGAATTTTTATGAAACCAAACAAAAATAATTCAATTTCAAATCGAATTTATCGAACTTATTTTTATTCGATTTTAGTTTTTCTTAATTCAACTTAACCGAAAAATGATTGTTGGTTCAATCCCAAGGTAGATCTAACAATGATGTTTGCTTATTCAATCCCAAAGGTATGTTCCATAGGGAAAATTCTATGCTTGCTTCCAATAATCTCCTGTTCTCCTAATCGTACAAAATGACCGTTGGTTCGAGTTAGGTCGAGACTCTCAATCTTGTATCCATTTCCTTCTTTACTACTCTATTCATCGTCACCATAGCCTCGAGATGATGCAAGATTTGAACCCAACTGGATATCTAAAACAAATCAGCCTTGCGAGCTGGTGTGGTCATGGTTTGTTGGTTGGTGGCAATGTGCATGGATTTTGGAGCTAGGGAGATCGACGGCGGGTCGGTGGTCGGGATTTGTAGGGATGAGTGGATCCGTGGCTGGAAACATTTTGTGTTTTGAAATGAAAGGGTTAGGGATTTTTGGGAATTCAATTAATTAGGTTTGTGTTTGATTCACATGCACTTCATTTTATTAGTATTGTGTTTGATTGACAAGTAGTTTATTTTGAGAGTAAATTTGTCCTACGTGTAACCTTATGTGGTATTCTTTTCATGGTGTCATCTTATCCGTCGACTAATTTATTAGCCATGTAGGATGAGTTAATGACGAGTGCATTACAGTGCATCCCTAGTTTATTAGCCATGTAGGATGAGTTAAGGTTTTTGTCCTTGTATTTCTACGAAATTAGTAAGAGAAAATTAAAAAAAAAAAATTAAACCAAACCTAGAAATTTTTTATTTATTTATTGTGGATTTGTATGTTATTTTTTTTATTTGTCTATTTCTTTCATAAAAGATAAGACTATGGAATAACTACTATAAATATATACTAATTGTTCGATGAGTATTATAAAATTTCTCATTTTATTCTATTCCATTAAAATTTTTATCTTTGCATCCAATCTCATTACATCGGATACCACATATCAAAGATTTATACATTGAGTCATATGAAAATTACATATGAAACTTAAAAAAAAAGTATTAAAAATTAGGGGGAAAAAAAGCAAATTTGAATATTATTTAAATTTAAAATTTTTAGGAAAAAAATAGGTTTTTTTTAAACTTGGAAATTAAATTTTAAATAAAATTATTAGGAAAATTTGTTTTTTTTTAGAACCACACGGTACATCATGTTAAGTGAATTTGAGAGAAGTTGGATTCGATTGATTAAACAGTTTTTGTTTTTGTTTTTTTAATTAGATAGCTTATGTTAGGAATTAACCCAAAGGCATTGTAGGACACAAGGAATTCAAGTCAACAAGTGAGTTGGACTTGGTTGGTTTAATTAAAACTTCAGGACCGGTTTACCACTATTATAAATGTAGAGGGTCATATCTTTAATTTGCGTGTGTTAAACCAAATAAAAACCAGTTTGCGTGTTAGAGGATTTTATGTATGTGCATTCTTCATCAGAAATCTTTTCTATTTTCAAAAGATTTCCAATTTTAATATATATATATATATATATATATATATATATATATATATATATATATAAAGAGGGAACCTTCGGCAAAATTAAAGGATTCGGTTGAGCTGAGCGTGCCGTGCCTCCTCTTGAAAAATTTCAAACAAAAAGTTATAATATCCCTTTAGTTTTGCAAAAGGAATTAAATAGTCTCTTCAGTTTCAATAGTTAATTAATTAATCCTTATTTTTTATATCTAATTATAGATTAATTATTTTCATTCTTTTTCATTTTTTAAGAAATAGAAAAATAACAAATAAGCAAAAATATGGATAGATTAATAAGAAAAAGGGATGCTTTTTTTAAAAAAAATATTAAATTAATCATAATTAATACTAATCACATGACTAATTAATTTCTTTTTGAAATAAAAGAGATTATTTAATTTGCTTTTCAAGAGAAACTAATTTATAATTTATTCTTATTTCTTTCTGCTCCAGATCTCTCTCTCTCTCTCTCTCTCTCATATGCAATTTCTTAATTAAAAAAAAAAAAAAACTAACATGATATAGTATTCGAAAGAACAGGAGACATCCTGATCTTTCTTACATATAAGCAAGTTCTCGAAAAGTTTTTAACACCCGCCTCCACCTCCTCCTCCTCCTCCTCCTCCTCCTCCTCCACCACAACCACCACCACCTCCTTCAGCACAAGCACCACCACCACAAGCACCGCCACGTCCAGCAAAGCCACCCCTATGCCGCGGACGATGACCTTTGCCTGAATTGCTATCACCACAAGCGAATATGACGATGGAAATAATTGACAAAGAAACAACAATCATGTATAACAACATGAAAGCCCCGGAGGAATCAACCAGGAAACCTGCTTCTGAGTTCCCAGTACCGTCATGAACTATGAACTCTCTTGCCATCTTATCTTTGCTGCTACCACAAACCTTGTTGTAGCTACGTACAATATGCTGTTGAATAGAGCCCATTTATATTCAAAATTTTTGGCTTTAACTTAATTAAGAAGGATATAATTAATATGGTGGCCCTGTCATCGTTTTGGTTTTTGGGGTTAATTTGCCTTTCAAATGCAAATCCGTGTTGTTTACTCAAACCTTCAATTAATTGTCATGCATCTATCTTTAGTAAATTCTGTTCAAGTATTTTAACCACATTAAAAGTGTGGTAAATTCTATACATGCATTGAATTTTTGAATATTTCCTAGTCATTTCATGCCATTTAAATATTCGATTGTGATGATTCGTAATTTACTTTAATTCCATTCATGTGCGTTCTGTGAAAAACAAATCAAATTTTATAAGGTTAAGTAGCAACAAATCAAACACCAGCTGTAAAGCCATTTGTTGCCAAGTTACAAAGCAAATCCATTTAGAATTAATCAGAGTTTTCTTACGATTTCAAAACCAATCGTTGTTTTGTCAACTTGTCATTTTTGTTTCTAATTTCCGTACAGGCCAATACGGAAATGCATAATCGAGAAGGATGGTGTTGGTATTGAGTCATCTAGACATACAAGAAGCTCCATCTCTTAAAATAAGCAAGTTGAACTGATAATAAATCCTATAATTCATTGCGTTATAAATTAATATTTGAATTTATTAAATCTCATATTGTTTGTTTCTATTATTTTCAAGCAAAAGACTTAGGTCGTGACTCAAATCTTTACAAGTTGTTCATAAAGACTCATCGACACCAAAATGAGTCATTTGTGAATATACAGATCCCAAGCGATTAGGGTAAGTTTTTTGTTATTTTAATTATACATATACAAATTTAATTAAAAAATTAAATTTATGATTTAATAATATAATTTTTTTTATTATGTAGGAGCTTGTGGACCAATTATATGCATCACTCGCTAGTCAATAGCCGAAGGGTGATTCGTTGTCTTCAAGTATCGACATGTCATAAATATATTTTGAGACTGCAAAAGGGGAGAATAAGCATAGAGTGTAGATCTCAAATCACGGGTGTCCTAATATTACTCACATTCGACACTAGGTCATCCTTTGCCACATCTTGTTTCCTTGGTCGTATGCAACAAGATCATGAGTAGTGTGAACAAAAACTATAGGACTTACAACATGACTATATTCGACGGATCTAGGAGGTGGAGAACAAATGCAAGGCAAAAAACCACTTTATCTAGCAACGGATGCGAGAGAATGGAGCTTGTGGAGCCGATAGGCTGGAAGGTGATTCATTGTCTCAAGACATCGACATGTCACAAATATATTTCAAGGTCGTAGAAGGGAAGAAGAAGCGTAGAGTATATGGTCTCGGATCATAGGTGTCCTAGTATTACTCATATTCGGCATTAGGTCATCCTTTGCCACATCTTGTTTCTCCGGTCGTGTGCGAGCAGGATCATGAGTAGTCCAAACAAAAGCTCGGAGGACTTACAATGTGACTATATTCGATAGATCTAGGAGGTGGAAACAAATGCAAGGTAGAAAACCACCTTATCCGAGTGGCGGAAGCGAAGAATGGAGCAATTAGAGGAATCACTCACGAGTCACACCCCTCCTTCTAACCCTTTCCGTCCTTGTACCAAGGAGTTTGCTTTTCCTTTCGATACCCGACGATCCGAAAGATGAAGCGACAAATGATCTCGATGAGAATTAGTTTTCTTTTAAATTATTCTTTTTAATATATTCGTATACTAAATGATGTGTGTGTGTGTATTAAATTTGATTTTATATTTATTTAATTTTATTCAATAATATTTTGTGTTATAATTTTAATTTTAGTTATTGACTAGTACAAAGGAATATTTAAACGCTTATTAACGAAATAAAAAAAAATTCTTATTTTAACGACGGATCGGTGATCGTCTAATGACCAAAAAAATTAAATTAAACACTCAACAACAAAAATTAGCAATGAAAAAAATTGCTAAAAATAGCAATGGATACCATCAACAACGACAAAATTTAGTGATAGATTTCTATCTCTATATAGTGACAGAAATAAAACTAATTATCGATTGTTTTGGCGATAGATTTCTAATCAAATATTTTTGTTGCTAATTGGAGATGAAGTTTCTAATCTGTAGATAAAAAAATTAGCGACAAACATTTTAGCGAAGATTTATTGATATAGTGAGGAAATTCTTGATTTAGCAAGGTAAATTTTCGTCACTGTTTAACTGCATTTTGTAGTGTATGACTCTTTAAGAGAAATAACAATTTAAGAGTCGATGTGAGCTTTAATAACCATTTTTTTTTTTTTTTTTGGCCTTGTGCTTATCTCGGTTTTCATAAGCATATTTGAGAATGAGCTAAATTCTAATAGTGAACGCTCCTACTCTCATATTTACATAGGTGAATTATGTCAAAAGTGCTCCTGTAATTCTAACATGCGGCTTATAAGAGCTACAGAAATTCATTAAGAGTTTTATATAAGAACTCAACCTCTATATTTTACAAGATGAATGCACTCACACTATAAAAAGGGATTTAATAATTAAATAAATAATTTATTATATCATAAAATTAAAAATTTAATATATTTTAGTTATTTTATCATATTTTTTTTTAAAAATAATATATGAATTAAATTTCTGATAATTATATTATTACGAAAGGTTTTATTCGTTCAAAATTATGTTTTCACCTAAGGTTGCAAGAAAAATAGTATGACACAATAGATTAAAACCCAACTAGAATTAGGGATGGCTTTTCATCCACTTTTCTCTTTTCTGCAAAAATTTTTAACCAAACACCAATTTTTTGAAAAAATTCAATCGCAAAATTCCAAGTTTTCTTGAGAAAATTCCAAGTTTTCCCAACAAAATTTCAACTGCAAAATTCTAGGTTCAATTCAAGCTCTCACTCTCTCCTTCTCTCTCCATCCCCAGCCCCTCACCTATCTTCACAAAAATCTTCACATCCAAACACACGTTCCCATTCCCAAATTTTCCTTCCCACCAACGGCAGGATTAGGAATGTTTAGTCGAACAACAGCCCCTCGTCGTCTCAAGCCTCAGAAACCAAGCCTTCAGTCATCAAGCTCAACTTGGAAGGTAGATCTAACAATGATGTTTGCTGGTTCAATTCCAAATGTATGTTTCATAAGGAAACCTCCATGCTTGTTTCCAATAATCTCTTGTTCTCTTGATTGTACAAAATGACAGGTTCAGAATTGAGGCCGAGACTCTTAATCTTGTACGCATTTCCATCTTTACTACTCTATTCATTGGCCACCATAGCCTGAGATGATGCAAGATTTGAACCCAGCTGATTATCCAAAACAAGCCAGCCTTGCGGCTGGTGTGGTCGTGGTTTATTGGTTGGTGGCGGCGTGTATGGATTTTGGAGCTAGGGAGATCCAACGGGTCAATGGTCGGGATTTGTAGGGATAAGTGGATCGGTGGCCGGAACATTTTGTGTTTTGAAATGAAAGGGTTAGGGATTTTTGGGAATTCAATTAATTAGGTTTCTGTTTGATTGACATGCACTTCATTTTATTAGTATTGTATTTGATTGACATGTAGTTTATTTTAGGAGTAAATTTGTCCTACGTGTAAGCTCACATGGTATTTATTTCATGGTGTTATCTTATCTGTCACGCCATGTTAGCTAATTTATTAGCCACGTAGGATGAGTTAATGACAAGTGCATTGCTAATTTAATAGTCATGTAGGATGAGTTAAGGTTTTTGTCCTTGTATTTCTATGAAATAAGACAGAGAAAATTAAAAAAAAATTAAGTTAATATAGAAATCTTTTATCAATCTTTTTAGATTCGAATATATATATATATATCTCGTTCTCTTCAAAATTAAACTCATAAAATAACTATTATCAATATACATTAATTACTTTTTAAATATCATAAAATTTCTTACTTTACTATGTTATATTAAAAATTTTATCTTTGCATCCAATTTCATTACATTGGATGCCACATATCAAAGATTTATACTTTGAGGCATATGGAACTTTAAAAAAGTATTAAAAATAAAAAAAATGCAAATTTGGATATTATTTAAATTTAAAATTTATAGGAAAAAAAGTTTGGTCTTTGTAAACTTAGCAATTAAATTTTAAATAAAATTATTAGGAAAAATATGACTTTTTTTCTCCTCTAATAATCTTTTTTTTTTTTAGAACCACACATGATACATCATGTTAAGTGAATTTGAGAGGAGTTGGATTCAATTGATTAAACAGTCTTATTTTTTTATTAGATACCTTATGTTAGGAATTAAACGAAAGGTGTTGTAGGATACAAGGAATTCAAGTCAATAAGTGAGTTGGACTTGGTTGGTTTAATTAAAACTTCAGGATCGGTTTGCCACTATTATAAATTTAGAGGGTCGTATCCTTAATTTGCGTGTGTAAAACCGAAAAAAGCCAGTGTGCAAGAGGATTTTATGCACGTGCATTGTTCAATAGAAAATCTTTTCTATTTTCAAAAGATTTCGATTTTGAACCGCTTATATATATATATATATAAGAGAGGGAATCTTCAGTAAACTTGAAGGATTGGGCTGATCTGAACGTGCCAAGTTTCCATTTGAAAAATTTAAAACAAAAAAGTTATAATATCCCTTTAGTTTTTCAAAAGGAATTAAATAGTCCCTTCAGTTTCAATACTTAATTAATTAGTCCTTATTTTTATATGTATTTATAAGTTAATTATTTTCACTCTTTTTCATTTTTGTTTTTAAGAAATAGAAAAGGAACAAATAAGCAAAAATTTGGATAGATTAATGAGAAAAAAAGATTTTTTAATAAAATAATATTAAATTAATCATAATTAGTGTTAATCAAATTAAGGACTAATTAATTAGCTTTTGAAATAAAAGAGATTATTTAATTTAGTTTTCAAAACTATAGGAACTAATTTATAATTTATTCTTCTTCTTTTTTTCCTGCTCTAGTTCTCTCTCTCTCTCTCTCATATATATATATATATATATATAAGTAAGTCCTCCACCACCCGCCACAAGCACTACCTCCTCGTCCTTCACCACAAGCACTACCACCACAGGCATCAACACGTCCAGCGAAGCCACCCCTATGCCACGGACGACGACCTTTGCCAGTACCGTCATGAACTATGAACTCCCTTGCCACCTTATCTTCCTAGTAACTTTGCTACTACCACAAACCTTCTTGTAGCTACGCACATGCAATATGTTGTTGATTAGAGCCCATTTATGTTCAAACCTTTTGGCCTTAACTTAATTAAGAAGGATATAATTAATATGGTGGAGTTATGCAACGTTTTGTTTTTTGGGGTTAATTTACCATTCAAATGCAGATCCGTGTAGTTTACTCAAACCACCAATCACTTGACGTGCATCTATCTTTGGTAAATTCTGTCCAATTATTTTCTACAAAATCAAATTATTTAAACCTCATAAATGTTGAGTTTCTCATTAAAAAATGTGGTTGTATACATGTATTTAATTTTTGAATATTTCCTCGTTATTTCATGCCAGTTAAATATTTGATATATTGTGGTTCATAATTTACTTTAATTCCATTCGTGAAGACGTTACGTGAAAAACAAATCAAATTTTAGCAGGTTAAGTAGCAACAAATCAAACACCAACTGTGAAGCCATTTGTTGCCAAGTTACAAGCAAATCCAATTAAAATTAACTAGTTGGACACCCACAGCGTAATTGGATATCAACTGCTTATGCAGGCCTGCTTTAGCCCGTTTCTCAAGACTAGTCCTATAAAAAAAAAAAAAATTACTTCTCCAGGCCAGCCCTAAAAAAACGAAAAAATTACAGTGAAATGAGCCAGGTCAACACTAATAAATAAATAAAATGCTATAATAAATGAACAAGGAAAACTCTAATTTTTTTAATTTGTTTAGAATAATTATAATATCGAAAAAACACTTCTTGTTATCTCTTTCTCATCAAAATTTATATATGCAACAACATCGTTTTCATTGAAAAATCATAAAAATAATCAATCATATAAATTATAATAATATATTTTTAAAAAATAAAACAATCAAGTTCTAAAATTTTATTTCAAAAGCAATATATAAAAAAATTAAATTTCTTAACAAATAAAATCATATAAAATTTGAAAATTAATTCAATGAGAATTTTAATGAGAAAGAAAAAATTAAAAAAATAAATTTTAAATAATAAAAATAATATAATTAGATATATATGTTCAAACAAAAATTTTAAAAAATATTATATATATTCTATTATTGTCAAACTAAACATAAAATAAAAAAATGATTTTTTATTTTTATTTTTCTCACCCAATTTCATGAAAAAAATATAAAATAAATTATTTATATAAAAGAAGAACAATTGTCATATGATATTTAAATAAATCATTTATTAATAAATATTATATTATTATACCGATATATTTAAAATAATCTTTAACTAATACAATGTAATATTAATTTAATTATAAAGTATAATTATCAAATGTATTATATTACTAAAATACTTATCAATTTTTATATATATTCAAATTCGTAAAATAATACATTAATATATTATTTATATCATAATTTAAAATAATAAAAAATATTATATCGTTTAATAAACACAATATTCATAATCAAAATATAGATAACTATTTTATAATCATTATTTGATATTTTTTGTAAAATATAATGATAATATATTATAATTATTAACTATAAAGAATTTTATGATTTAAAAAATATATTTCTAATAAATAAGGACCTAAATAATATATTTGACCATATAATAATAGTCCTACAAATATAGAAACTGAAAAAAAAGGCTAGAAGTTAAAAAAAATAAAAAATAAAAAAACACTTTATAAATACAATATTCACAATCAAAATACAAATAACTATTTATAATAATTATTAATTTTTTTGTAAAACATAATGATAATTTTTATAATTATTAATTATAAATAATTATTTGGTATTTTTTGTAAAATATAATGATAATGTATCATAATTATTAACTATAAATAATTTTATTATTTAAAAAATATATATTTCTAATAAATAAGGACCTAAATAATATATTTAACCATATAATGATAGTCCAAAAAATATAGAAATTGAAAAAGAAAAAAAAACAAACGTTAAAAAAAAAAAAACAAAACAAAACAATAAAGCACTCGCTATTTTTTTAAAATATAATGATAATATATTATGATTATTAATTATAATAACAGTCCTATAAATATAGAAAGTGGGGGAAAAAATGAATGCTACGAGTGAAGTTCTAGCAGACCTAACCCCAAAAGGGAAAAAAAGAAAAAAGAAAAAAGAAGGCTAGACTTTTAAAAAAGAAAAAGGGACTCATTACGGTAAATGGAAATGGTAAAAAGCACAAAAAAAATTAGTTTTCAAACCAAAGGGACTAATTAATTTATTTCTCGGAGAATTATTTTTTTATTTTTTCTATTTCTTAAAATAAAAATAAAAATAGTAAAATGGTGAAAATGATAAAAAAAAAAATTAGTTTTCAAACCAAAGGGATTAATTAATTTATTTCTTAAAGAAATAGGGACCAAGAAGCAACAAAAAAAATACATGAATAGGGATAATGAGTTTAGAGCTACGGTGAATGGATAGTATCACTTGCACTTCTTTTGGTTTTTTTATAATCATAGTTTTCTTACGTTTCAAAACCAATCGTTATTTTGTCAACTTGTCGGTTTTTGTTTTTTTTTTCTTTCTTTCTATACGAGCTTGTACAAAACTCGCATGAACGAGAAGAATGATGTTGGTACTGAGCCATTTAGACATACGAGAGGTTCCATCTCACAAACTAAACATTTTGAACGGATAATAAATCCTATTATTTATTGCATTATAAATTAATATTTGAATTTATTCAATCTTATATTGTTTATTTCTACTATTTTCGGGCTAAGGAATTAGGTCATCACCTAAATCTTTACGAGTTGCTCATAAGGACTAACCGGCACCAAGATGAGTCGTTTGTGGATACACGGTCCCAAATAGTTAGGGTGAGTTTTTTATTATTTTAATTATACATATATAAATTTAATCAAAAAATTATTTTTAGAGAAATCACTCACGAGTTGTGTCCCTCTTTCTAACCCTTTCTCTCCTCGTACTAAGGAATCTGCTTTTCCTTTTAATACCTAACATCCGAAAGATGAAGCAACAAATGATCTCGATGAGGATTAATTTTCTTTTAAATTATTCTTTTTAATATATTCATATACCAAATGGGGACTGTGTATTTGTGTGTCTATATATATATATATAGTAGATTTGATTTTACATTCATTTAATTTTATTCAATAATCTTTCGTGTTATAATTTTAATTTTAGTTATTGGCTAGTACATATGAATATTTAAATGCCTATTAACGAAATAAAAAAAAATTCATTATTTTAACGATGAATCAGCGACCACCTAATGATAAAAAAAAAAAAAAATTAAACACTCAAGCAAAAGAAATTAGCAACAAAAAAAATTGCTAAAAATAAGGACGGATACCATCAACAGATCGGTGATAAAATGTAGTGATAGACTTCTATCTCTATATAGTGATAGAAATAAAACTAATTACCGATTGTTTTGGCGACATATTTCTCATCAAATACATTATTGTTTACAATGAAATAATGACAAAAAAAAAATTCAAAATAGTGACATCATTTTCAACGCTAATTAGCAATGGAATTTCTAATCCGTAGCTAAAAAATTAGCGACAAACATTTTAGCAAAGATTTATTTCCATAGCTAAACCAATATAGCGAGGAAATTCTTGATTTAGCAAGGTAAATTTTTATCGCTATTTAGTTATTTTTTGTAGTGTATGACTATTTAAGAGAAATAAAGTATCAATGTTCACAAATAACAATTTAGGAGTCGATGTGAACTTTAATAACCAATTTTTTTTATTTTTTTTATTTTTTTATTTTTTTATATTTTTTTGCCTTGTGCTTATCCTAGTTTTCATAAGCATATTTAAGAATGAGCTAAATTATAATAGAGAACGGCCCTACTCTCACATTTATATAGGTGAATTATATCAGAAGTGCTCCTATAGCTCTGGACATCCCGCTTATAAGAGCTACAAAAATTCATTAAGAGTTTTATATAAAAACTCAACCTCTATATGTTATAGGATTAATGCACTCATACTTGTAGAAAGGGATTTAATAATTAAATAAATGATTTACTGTACTATAAAATTAATATATTTTAATTATTTTTCATGTTTTTAATAAATAAATAAATAATACATGAACTAAGTTTTTAGTAATTATACTAACATGAGGATTTTTTTTTCAAAATTTTATTTTTACTTGAGGTGGTAGGACAAATAGAATGACATCATGGATTAAAATTTACTTAGAAATACATGCGGCTTTTTATCCCCTTTTCTCTTTTCTAAAAAATTCTCTAACCAAATACCAATTTTTTGAAAAAATTCAACTATAAAATTCCAAGTTTTTCCAAAAAAAAAAAAAAACCTCGAATCGAGTCCACAATTTTTTCAGCTTCTACTCGTGCTATACCATTCCATGAACTCTAAGGTCCGTTAGTACGCATCACATCGACAGCGAGTCAATGGTCGAGATTTGTAGGGATGTGTGGATTGGTGGCTGGAACATTTTTGTGTTTTGAAATTAAAGGGTTGGAAATTTTTAGGAATTCAATTAATTAGGTTTGTGCTTGATTGACATGCACTTCATTTTATTAGTATTATTTTTTATTGACATGTAGTTTATTTTGATAGTAAATTTGTCTTAGCCATTTAGGATGAGTTAATGACAAATGCATTGCAATGCATCACCAATTTACTAGCCATGTAGGATGAGCTAAAGTTTTTGTCCTTGTATTTCTACCAAATTAGAGAGAAAAAACTAAAAAAAATTATTGAGTCAACGTGAAATTTTTTTTTTTTTTTATCATTTTTTATGAATTCGAGATGTGATTTTTTATGTGTCCATCTCTCTTCTCATAAAAAATGGATTTATAGAGTAATTACTCGTAAATATATACTCGTTATTCTTTAAGTATCATAAATTTCTCAATTTACTTTGTTCCGTCAAAATTTAAATCTTTGTATCCAATTTCATTACATCGGACGCCACATGTCAAAGATTTATACTTTGAGTCATATGAAAACTACATATGGAACTTAAAAAAGGTATTAAAAATTAAAAAAAAAATGCAACTTTCAATATTATTTAAATTTAAAATTTATAGGAAAAAAGGTTGGTTTTTTTAAACTTATAAGTTAAATTTTAAATAAATTATTAGGAAAATATTACTTTTTTCTCCTCTAATAATCTTTTTTTTTTAGAATCACACATGTTAAGTGAATTTGAGAGGAATTGGATTCAATCGATTAAACAGCCTTACTTTTTTTATTAGAGACCTTATGTTAGGAATTAAACCAAAGTTATTGTAGGATACAAGGAATGCAAGTCAATATCTGAGTTGGAATTGGTCCCTTTAATTAAAACTTCAGGACCGGTTTACCACTATTATAATTGTAGAGGGTCATATCCTTAATTTGCGCGTGTAAAACCAAAAAAAAACAGTGTGCGTGTAAGAGGATTTTATGCATGTGCATTGTTCAATAGAAATCTTTTCTATTTTCAAAAGATTTCGACTTTGAACCACTTATATATATATATATAAAAGAGGGAATCTTATGTAAAATTAAAGGATTGGGTTGGGCTGAGCGTGCCATGTTTCCTTTAGAAAAATTGAAAACAAAAAAGTTATAATATCCCTTTAGTTTTTCAAAAGGAATTAAATAGTCCCTTCGGTTTCAATACTTAATTAATTAATCCTTATTTTTATATCTATTTATAAATTAATTATTTTCATTCTTTTTCATTTTTGTTTTTAAGAAATAGATAAAGAACAAATAGGAAAAAATATGGATAGATTAATTAAAAAAAGATTTTTTAAAATAAAGTAATATTAAATTAATCATAATTAATACTAATCATATGACTAATTACTTAATTTTTAAAATAAAAGAGATTATTTAATTTATTTTTTAAAACTAGGGGAACTAATATATAATTTATTCTTATTTTTTCCTGCTCCAGTTCTCTCTCTCTCTCACACACGCACATATATAGAGAAATTTTATAATACACAAGACCCACTTTAAGGAGAGAGATAGACACACAAAAAGAGAAAGAAAAAAATAGGAGAGAGAAAATAAAAAAACTTAAGTAGACGTAGAAATCTTCTTATCACTTTTGGTGGATATAGATATAATTTCTCTCTTTTTTATGTGTCTATCTCTCTTCTCAAAGTGAACCCAAAGAGTAACTACTGTACATACCATTAGTTACTTCTTATGTATTATAAAATTTTCCCACACACATGCGCACACACACACATGTATATATATATATATATATATATATATATATATATTCTTTATTAAAAAGAAAAAAACGCTAACATGATACAGTGTTCGAAAGAACAGGAGACATCCTGATTTTTCTTGCATATAAGTAAGTCCTCGGAAGGTTTTTAACACCCGCCTCCGCCTCCTCCTCCACAACCACCACCACCTCCACCTCCTCCACCACAAGCACTGCCTCCTCCTCCTCCTCCTCCACCACAAGCACTACCAGCTCCTGCGTAATTAGCACCACCTCCAGCAAAACCGCCCCTACGCCGCGGACGATGACCTTCGCCTGAATTGCTATCACCACAAGCGAATATGACCATGGAAATAATTGACAAAGAAACAACAATCATGCATAACAACATAAAAGCCCAGGAGGAATCCACCAGGAAACTTGCTTCTGAGTGCATAGCGCCTCCATGAACTATGAACTCTCTTGCCATCTTATCTTTGCTGCTAGCACAAACCTTGCTTTAGCTACGTACAATATGTTGTTGATTAGAGCCCATTTATATTCAAAATTTTTGGAATATTCAACTTCCTTTAACATAATTAAGAAAGATATAATATGGTGGACTTATCAACATTTTATTTTTGGGGTTAATTTACTTTTCTAATGTATATCCGTGTAGTTTACTCAAACCACCAAGTGCTTGCCCTGCATCTATCTTTGGAAAATTCTATTCAAAAGTATTTTTTTAGAAAAATCAAATCATTCAAACAACATTAATGTTGGTTTTCTCATTCAAAATGTGGCTGTGCATGCATTGAATTTTTTAATATTTCCTCGTTGTTTCATGCCAGTTAAATATTTGATATATTGTGGTTCATATATAATTTACTTTAATTCCATTCGCGACGACGTTACGTGAAAAACAAATCAAAGCTTAAAAGGTTAAGTAGAACGAATCAAACATTAGCTGTAAAGCCATTAATTTGTTGCTAGGTTACAAGCAAATCCATTTAGAATTAGTCACAGTTTTCTTACGTTTCAAAACCAATCGTCGTTTTGTCAATTTGTCGAGTTTTCTTTTTGCAAGCTTCGCGTTCCTCTTCAAAGCATGCACGTAAGCTAGTAAGTAGTATAAGTAATTGAGGTGATTCGGCTGTTGGATTGGATCCCTTTTTCACGCGGAGTCGAAAATTCATATCACTACACCAAAACTTGGAATTCCCGCCGGTTTTTTGACAACTGTAGAGGCGGTTATAACCGCCTCTACGATTCCTAGAGGCGGTTGTACCAACCGCCCCAAGACCGCCCGCAATGCCGCCGTCTCTGCCGAGTGGAGGCGGTTTTTCCAACCGCCGGGGTTGTCTACGGCGGTTTTATGCGACGGTTCCAAACGCCTCTAGGAATTTTCTTTTGAGGCGGTTTGAACCGCCTCTAGTAGGAAAAGCTCATCCTTGGGAATTTTTTGGGGCGTAATAGTAGAGGCGGTTGTAAACCGCCGCTACGTTCCCGGTTTTTTTTTTTAAAATTTGGCGCCGGATTTATTAGGGGCGGTTGCAACCGCCCCATGTTGTAAAATATACGTTTTTCTACAATATTTTTAGAGGCGGTTTCAACCGCCTCAAAATTCAGAATTCATGAAAAAAATTTTTGAGTTCATATTCAAATTTAATTTTTTTTTATTGGTCAAAAAAACAAATAAATTACGAAAACATTAATCTTGTTCAATGCAAATTAAAGAAAAATTATCAAATTCCAAATACATAAAAGGTTGTCAAACATTTACAAATAAAAATAAAAACTAAAGTATTAAACATTTGTTTTAAATACATAAATAAAATTCCAAATATATTTTAAATTTAGTAGCTAATGTTTTCCAAAAAAAACAAACATGTTTTTATAGAAATGTTTCATTTCGACGGATGACTTGCTTGTGATGAACGATTAGGAGAAGGAGGATTTTGACCATTACCATCATTGCGAACCTATCAACAGACACAATTTGAAAGTCAACAAAAACATAATGTTAATATAGATAAAAACTCATTAAAAATATTGCAAGATGAAGAAACATGTTAAATATTTAATTAAAAGTATATGATACTCGAGTAGGATTTAACGAAGTGAGCATCAAATTATGATCCGGATATCTCTCGCAATGAAAGCGATAATGACGAGTTAATGTCTCATTTATTGTATTATATCTGGATTCCATTGCTTCATATTTGGTTTTCATTGTATGCAATTGCTCTTTCATTTCTTCTACTTCAGTTGATTGATTTGTAGATGCACCGCCTTGACCACTTCCAAGTTGAGATTGTAAATCAAAGAATAATGTTGGTGTTGGACCCGAGCCTAATCCTCTAACTCTACCATTGTGTTCTTTACCCATAACTTCTTGAAAAATCTCTTCATTTATAGCAGTAACTACTTGGTAGTTGAGGAACCTTCATAACGCTCGGCTTGGAGAGAACGAGCCTTTTCCTATAAATGTCAAGACAAGTATATTTAGAATAAGTGAATAATGAAATATCATTCATCAACAATAAATAAATTACAATAAAATTTTAGTACCATTTTTAGCCGAATATTGTCATCAACAAATGTGCCATCCTTCTTCTTATGAGTAGCTTCATACAATGTCAACCTATCGAGTTCCTTTCCATCCCTTTCTTCCTACAAACAATTATACATATTTAATCTAATTTCATACATAAACGGTATTTAAATGTAAAGTTATAAATTATTAAAATTACCATTTCTCTTCTTTTTCTTGCACAACTTTTTCTCGCCTAATGTATGGGCACATTTATTTTTGTTTGCATTTGCGGTATTTACCTCACTTGCTTTCTACGTAAAAAAAAAAAACACATTTGATTGTAAATCATACAAATAGGTAAAAAAAAAAGCTAGTTACAATATGAAATAATTTGAAACCCGGCTTTACGGAGTAAACCATCTATTGACCAAAGTAGACCATTGATCTATCAACACACCGGGAGGCAATTCTTTGGATGCAATAATCTCTTCCGTCGTTTTAGCGGGATCAAAAAACTCAGCTTTCAAGTCACTTTTGAAATCCCTCCACTTCTTATTTAACGATGCCAAAATCCATTTTTTTACAATATCGGGAAAGTCAAACTTTTCCTATAAAACATTTTAAAAAAATTATAAGTGAGCATAATGATATCGGCATCTCATCATTACTTAAATGCTTAAAACTTTATGGTTAAAGATATGCAAATTACTAGCTAGTACATTCACTCTTTAATGAAGTTAATATCACCGGAATCCGTCAATGCAAATTACTAGGTAGTACAAAGCGAGGGCTTGTTTTTTGTGCTTCTTCCAATCTGTCGGTGCAAACAAAACAAAAGGTATGGCCGGACGTTGGTGCCTTCATCACAATTATGGGATCCATGCAAATAGGACAGTAGCATATACACAAATATGGCTTCCATTTTGTGCTCTTTTTTTACAACTAACCAAATCATTAATTAACAGATTGCACTTGGAATGAAATATATATAGCGAGTAATTTAGGATTCCAACCAATGCATATACGGACAGATCGAACTTGCTTCTTCATGATCTCTTAATTAAACGAACACACACTCAATGCAAGACTAAACTTGCGTGCATGATATCATGTACTCGACGATCAATGATTATTAATTAACGACAATAATCTAGAACAGAAGAAAAATAGTCCTAACTTTACATTTCATACCATATTAGGACACGAAACTAGCAACAAAGCAAAAGAGACCCAAACTTAATTCAAATTAGAATATGAACTCATGATATAGATTCTAAGTTTTAAGAGAATTTACCTTCACAAGTTTTAGAAGGTTGTTCTTGAAGACACCAAACTCCTTACAATCCCATCTTGGGATGCTCAAAGGTGCATGAATTCCTTTTTAACCAATATTCCAAGATAAGAACCAAGAGCAGTAACTTCTTTTGTACATGGAGTTCCATATTTGTCAACTTCTATGACAATTCGTTCTCCATCTTCTAAATGGTTCCAAAAATCTATCATTGAAGCTCGACCTCTTCCTTTAATGCGTTTTCCCTCTTTATCTATTTTTTTCATTATAATTTTGAAAATTAAGATAAAATCAGAGGCATATAAAATAAAATATAAAATAATTAAAACCTCACCAATAATTTTAACCATGCAATCATCATGCTCGAGCTTCTTGAACAGGTAGTGAACAATTTGCGAGAAGATGTTTGACTTTGAATTCGTGTTTGTTCTTGCATAGGTTGTGAACTATAAGAAGATGTAGGACTTTGGAAAATAGGTCGATCAGATTGGGATTCATCCCTAACAATTCTCAATCCACGCAAAGTCTTAGATCCTCGAACCATGTCTAATACCGCAACATATCACTTGATGTTAAAAATATGATTCCACATAAGATCAATGAAAATTAGAAACATACCAAAGTATAATTACCAATGCATAACTAGGATAAAAATAAAATCAAAAGTGAATAAAAAATGAATTATAAAAAATTAAATTAAACCAAAAAAATCTAAATTATTTCATCATCTAAATCATTCCGCACCCATATAGGCTTCTCCCCTCACCCAAAGATGGAGAATTCAAAAAATCACTTTCGAAATATCATCTACCCCCATATCAAATATATCTCTTGGTCTAACTTTGACAACCACGGACCAATTCTTATTTGATGGATCTTGCACATAAAACACTTGTTGTACTTGGGAAGAAAATACAAATGGATCATCTTCTTCTTTCTCACCTGTGTGAATTAAATGTGAAAAGTTCACTAAAGTATATCCAAATTCATCGTGCCTAACCCCGAACTATGATATACATCAACCCAATCACATTTAAACAATATAACTTTAAAACTATCATAGTAATCTAATTCAATAATATCTCTTAATTTTCCATAGTAGTTAACGCCTCCCACGGCTGAAACGTTAACCACACCACTATTTTGAGTTGATCTATTTACTTCCCGATCCAATGTGTGGAACCTAGTTCCATTGATGATGAACCCATTAAATCTCTTGGCCACATCATTAGGCCCTTTACCAAGTGCTAAAATTTCATCCGAAATGCTTGGATCATTCATGCTTAAAACCTATAAAAACACAAATTGAAAAAAGTTAGAATTAATACACTTTAATTCCCCATTTTTAATCTAATAATGATTCAATTACTTACCTTTTGTTGAAACCAACTATGAAATTTTTCATCAAGTAGTCTTTCAATATCCTCGCTTCGAGACGAGCATATCGACGTCGTTTTTTTCGTTCTATATCAATGAATTCTCTACATATGAAATTTTTTAACATATTATATAAGAGTATGTTTTAAAGAATCAATACTACACTTTATTAAATTAAAAGAACTTACAAGCGAAAACGTTCAATTTCATCACAATGACGTAAGATATAACGATGTGCTTGAATCAAAGACTTATTATCCAATTGGATGGCTTCAACTTTTCCAAT